TGACCAGACCTAAGAGAAAGATAAAATAATACAATAATACATAAGTAAGAATATCTCCATTGCTTTCTTTTATCACGACGGTAGAAGGATGAACTACAGGAAAACAAATACTTAAATGTTATTAAAAAGTGCTGTATAAAGTGAATATTTGCATCAGGAAGTATCGTTACGTTTTGTCGAGGTTAGTAGAGTCCTGTGAAGGACTGTTGGTGTTGATGTTGACTGACGTTTCGACAACCTTAGCAGTAGTCATCTTCAGAGTCAAATGATAAGTAAATGTCAGGTTAGCCGTGTTTCTTAAAACAAGTGCTAAGGAAGTCCAATACAATATCTACAAACATACGTACGTAGTACTAGAACAAATCATTACTTTATAATAAATAATACACTGATAAATATGATTTTATAAACATATCAAATGATCACCTAAACGTCTTGATCAAACAGAAGCATCGTATTAAAAACGCTCATATTTTAAGTTTATATTTGGATGAGACGCTTTCTCTAATGAATACTGTAATGTATAATTGAACTTCCTCAATACCATCAAGAATTATATCATAAACTGTCTTTAAACTTAATTCAATTATTGCGTGTTTTCCTTAAAATCTACAAAATTTAAAGCATATTGATGACTCGAAGTCAGACGTTCCATGGCGTTTCTAATTACATTTTAGTAAGTAAACTTTCATATTTCTTCCGTTTTTGTTTTACAGTAAAGTAACAGAAAACAAACAAAAGCAAGAACAACTAAAATTCAATAGCGTGTTTTACGTCATTTCTGGTATTTTAACTTCCATTTTTTGATTTTGAACAAATGAACTAAATGGAGAATTGTTTACATACCACGTATGAATATGTTGCTTTGGTAGAAAGCAACGTTCTGGAGGAGTATCTGACTTGAGAATAATGCCAAGATCTTGTTGTATGTGAAGATATGATCTTCCTTGATAGTCATATGCATCTTTAACTGAAAAATAATTACAATTGGTAAAGATTAGGAAGCTACAAGAAAGTATAAAATTTTAACTTACTGTTTAATGTGGATTTCTCTTCTAAAGGTTTCATATCATCTTTCTTTGATTTGTTTTTCTTCGATAATTCATACTCCTCAAGTATTGTTGGCTCTTCCTGTATTTAAAAAGGTAAAACGCCAGAAAAATAATTGTTTCATTTGAAAAATATCTTTATAAAACTCTTAATTTGGGTAATTGAAATACCTCAGATGGTTTGGCAATAGTTTCTTCATCAACAAACTTACTCCATGGTCCTATAGGAAAACAGAGAATAAGAGATAGTAGAACAACCTTTCGAAAGTTATTATTATTGTAGTAATCGTACCCTTGTACCCATCAATCACACCAGGATCTCTCCTATCCTCTCTCTTCCCCTAATCTCCCGCCCGCTGTTTTGAAGCTTCAAACACAATCAATCCCTTGCTATCCTTTGCTTTCTCAACATCCCCAACAAATCTTTATGGGTAACAATTGATATAAAAATAAAACATTACCAAGCCTATGCATTTTCGTACTCTGAGTCAGTATTTTGCCAGTGTGCAGAAATTGAGTTTTCCTTTTCCATGATCTTCAACTGCTCGTCAAGTCTAAACAGTAAATACCAAATCATTACAAATATAAGGCACGGTCAGACAAGCACCTGCAAGTTGCATATACATCTCTACTTGTACGTACGTATAAAAACAAGAAATAATTTTTTATTCGATATTCCAACTTATTATTCACAATGTTACGACGTACATTCATAGCTTCAAAATTTTCCCACTTCATTTTTCTAAATTCACACTGTTTAAGACTTTAATATCTCTAGAAACATGTTGAACTTTTCGAACATACTTTTCATCTGATTAAATGGAACAGTCAGTTCACTTGGATCAGTGCAACCATTCCATCGATGGTAAAGATCAGCGTACAAGTCCAGGTATATAACGTACTTGCATTTCCAATCTTCTTCTTCTGTAAGTTGTTCAAGATTTACGTATATTTGTTAAAAAAAGTTTTCTGTGGGTAAAACATTTCCACATAATGAGCATCAATAATTATGTGTCAAATCTGTTCCTTAGCTACAAGCCATTGTTTCTCAATTACTAACCAGTCTCAACTTCACGACCAAAAAAAGTCGATTCGTCCTTCATCCACTCACGAATATCATCTATTGAAATGCTGTGAGCTTTAGATAATGAAAAAGAAAATTTACTGCTTTCATGTGAGTCGTAAATAGTTCATATCCAAAATCGGAGTCAAATATAATCACACAGCAAATACAAACATATACTCACACGGAAAGCACCTGCATAACTTTTCAATATCTGATTTTGCAGTTTCTTCCACGTCAACAGCTCGCTTCATCCTTGCCATCAGCAAATTGCCTCAAAAAACAAAATTTAATTCATACCTGCTATTACATAATATGATGACATGTTAGCTATGTATATGTTCAAACAAAGAAAGAAAAACTAGCTATACCTAAATTAATCTTCGTTTTCTTTCCATAATGTAAAAGAGCATCACTGAGTACATCAACTCTGTGACTTGGACGCATTTCTTTAGTCATTCTGCTAAATTTGCGAATGTAAGCTCACAATCTCTCCAACATCTCACCGTCAGTTAGGCCAAATCCTTCTTTACGACGGGGACTAAATTTAACCTTTACAAGAAAGATTTAGTAAACAATTATTGAATTTTTATCATTTTATCATCTACAATACCATTAGTTATGATAGCATAGGTATCACCATCTGTTAATACGTATGAAAAATAAAACAATAACAACTAACTTGGCATCGTCCAACATGCCCATAGCAGTGAAAAATTGGAATTGAAAATTGAAAAATGTCAACAATCGGATCCTCCAAATTCTTTTGTAAAAACAAAATAAAGAAAAACATGTGAAAGACTACCTTTTCAAAGAAAAAAGTGTTGAGGGAAAGTTATTGACAAAGGAAACAGGTAACAAAGCAACTATTGTCAATTGAATATTACCTGTAAGTGTTTCACCAACATGCATGCAACATCATACAATATGTTTATTTTGAGTGCAGGATTATCAACATTATCTTTCTCTAATTCTTGGAGAACATAAACTGCATAGCTCAATCTATAAAATATGTAGAATATTTTTTTAAATAATGCAACCACATGTATGCAAAAGCTTCAGCACTTGCACAAAGCATTGAAAGTAGCAAACCAACTGAAAAAATAAATTTACACCATCAAATGCATGCATCCTAACCACCTCTTTCAAACCAAGAACATTTAGGTAAAAATAGAAAAATGTGTGTAACAGACCTCTCTCCATGTTTCAAATTTAAGAATTTTTTAGGAAACTCATGTCGACAGCCTCGCCCAAAGATTGCTGTTTCATCAAGAGCTCTGTAGCGATTCATTGATCGAACAGCATTCCCAGCAAGAAAACCATGACACTCCTATAAGTATCAATATGTAACAAACAAAAAGTATACAAGAGCTTTATTTCCTAAAGCCCATGGCACAAATTTATTGAAAATAAAAACTATGTGGTAGAGAATGTAAAAATCAAATATATTCAAAGCACTGTAACTTCCATGCCTGAATTTTCATTAGAATAACAAAGTATATTAAAGCTACATTGACCTTGTTTGATGTAGGTGTGGTATAATTGGCAACAAATTGATCAACATGTGTCTGATCATAGAACATCAGCTGTCCAAATAGAGGTTTTCCAAGACTCTGCCCAGCTTTTTCCTTCGTCCAATAAATAGAGCATCAAGAGACTCAAAGATCACACCATCAGTCTTCAATAAAATGGTGAAGGATAAAATCATGCAATGTATTTGAGTTCAATGATGCAAATGATGCAGTCAAAAGGTGTTTGAGATAGCATTGCTAATGTTCTTTTACTAAATTGTCATTGTTAAACAAGTAATACTGAATATACTCACTTTGGGACAAGTAGGACAGATATTTCCTTCATCAAGCTCAGGAATAACACAGCTCAACATGTTTAGTTTATGTCTGTAAATTTTGAAAAACACAATGACACAAAGAAAGCAATTATGCACTCTTAAACAAATGACATAAACAAAATACAGTGCAAGACAGTAATACTTGAGGAAAAATCCTTGCCCATCATAAACTTTTTAGCCATTTGATTTCCTCCAATTAAATACATCTCTTAAGATGAGATTCTTAGGCTATAAAATTGACTGCAACTTTCCCAGCAATTCATACATAGTACTGCAGTGCAATAAATCAGTGACCTACATGCAGTTACCTATATTTTTCAAAAGCATGTGGTTATGATTAAACTCTTCAAATAACTGACAAATGCTTTTTATTGATGCCTGGCATTCCATCTGCACAGTATGAATCAATTCCAAAAACTCAATTGGAAATGCAATTATTGGTTTTGTAGGTGTACCACCCCAAAGGCCAAATTGCAGAAGTTGAACAAACTCTAGAGAGCATGAGCAAAACTGTACCTCAACAGTACAAAAGGTGCCTAAAAATTGAAAAAGATCCAAAATTATAATTGTGTTGAACCATCCCAGCTAAAATGAAAAAACTTTTGCAGCACATTTTACATATAACATACCTTTAACATCAACAACAGAAACACTTCTTTTGTGACAAGCTGTTTGGCATGAACAATCATACACCAGCATGTTCATGAGTTTATATGGCCAAAACATGCCATCCTACAAAGCAATGAATAACCTCGTAGAAATTAGTTGTAATCAATCCCCTTTCTTGCATTTACAAAAAATATTAGATTGGTGCTTTGTAGCATGTTTCACAATGTAAACTCTCATTTTATTTTTGCATTTTTTGTTGCAAGTGTTGAGAGAGTTAACTGTAAACACTTTTATAATATCTAGCTCATAATATTTCAACATGATGACAAATATTTACGGTTGTGTGCATCTTTAACATACAGTTCTCACAATACTTTGCCATTGGAACACAATCGCTGCACCTAAACTTTGCTTCATTATCACAATGAATACACTTCAGATTGCTTCAATTTCTGCCAGCAAACTGAAATGTATTCTTTATAATTGAATTTTGCAAATTTTCCCATGCTTTTTGTTTTCTTTCAACTTTCTGGTAATAAGAAGATGATTCTTCACAATCATGGTGAACATCACTTTCAAGATCACTGTTATCTTGTTCCATTCCCAGTTCATGGCCTTCCAATGCACCACAATTATCAGGACTGTTAAAAGAACAGCTTCCTCTATGATCCTCAGTAACCAATTCTGACAAATGCACCTCCTCTCTCTCAACATGGCCATCCTCATCATGATATGTGACAGCTACAGTTGCTTTAAACCTTTTATTGCTCCTACAAAATTATCATAAAATCTATAAAATGAAAATAAATGTTGAAAAGTCTAACAGCTATAAGGCCGTTATTTGGTGTACCTTGGCATCTTTTAAAATTACGAGCAAGAAAATCACAAATCAAAAAATATTATCGATATTACCAATGACACAATAACATAAGTTAAACGACCAAAGTACAACGTATGTATCTCCCACGACTACCAGCCGACGTTTTGTACCCGTACTTTACCGGCTTTTAGCCACGTCTCATAAGACGAATGGTGTGATTTGTTTCAAAACGGTTTCTCGTATGGTATATTGTAGGACCCTTTTTCCTAGGGGTAGGGTAACATATCTCACGTGACCGGAAACGTAAATCATTTAAATTATTCTACAGAATCGACTAGAACGTCGCACCTGAAATATCATGTAGTTGGTTGTGTCTCGTAATCTTTCTGAATTTGTGAAGGTATGTTGATTTTAAACTTTACCTTTCGTTGTTGTATTGTATTTTGATATATTGTATCTCTATATAATAACAAAAAGAAATAAATTTCTACTATATAATAGTAATGTTCTACATCGATACACATCATGTGCATGGTCACGAGGTAGTAGAGGAAATAAGATATTCATGGATAATTTCCGAAAAGCACTATTGCTAATGCGCATTTAATATACACGACACGTTTTTTTTAAAATAGACATGTTTCGACATCTCATGATGCCATCTTCAGTATGAGTGAAATAATAAGTGATACAAGGTTTATATAAAAGTAATATGATACATAAATTACAACAATAAAAGGAAATAAGATAAATTAATGGGGAGCGTCCGAGCGTATTATAAACTAAATATTGTATTGAATTTAAAATCTTGAACATTGAGGTCAGGGTTGAGAACATTGAGTTCAAGTTTTTAAATTCAATACAATATTGGTTATAATACATTCGGACGCTCTCAATAATTATCTTATTTCCTTTATTGTTGTAATTATGTATCATATTACTTTATATATGTATCACTATTATTCACTCATACTGAAGATACATCATGAATGTCATGTCTATTAAAAAACTTCATGTGTCATTGCAATGCTAAAATAACTACGAAATCGTGTAATAAAAATTAATGCCCAACATAAAGTTTTGATTAGAGCCATAGAAATAGACCAAAAAAATTGTAAAATTGAATTTATTGTAACGTTTTGTCTTTATTCAAGACATCTTCAGACAAATAATAAATAGGATGTTAAGACAAGATATTATATTTACAAAAAGGTGTTAAATTACTACTAAAGGAGGCGGTGTCAAATGGATTATAAGATAAGGAAGTTAGGAAGTAAAATAAAGAGAAATTAAAAGAGGTTAAGTGAAAATGGAGTTTCCTTGCACGTTAAGTGAAGGCTTGTATTTATTGATTAAAAGGCTCTCATGAATGGAGAGTTCATAAGAATCGTTAGAAGAGGAGATTATTTTAAAGTCGTCGAAGTTGGGGGTGTGTCCAGGTGCGTTAATGTGAGCAAAGATGGTTGATACGCAGGGTGGGAAACTTGGTTGCCTGTAAGGGGATATTCCCAAGTGCTCCGAAAATCTGGTGTGTAGATGACGTGTGGTCACCGCATGTGTGGTCACCGCATCTTCAACCTTTGTTCTACTTACGAAAATTTTCATACACAACTCGAATTTACCAGAAAGTCACTCACCAAAACGGTTTTCCTTCACGTATAATTGACCAAATCACGTCGCTTCCTTAACAACACCTCAAACCACCTGTCTTGACTGCTCACAAAATGCCCATCTATTTTTGTCTTCCTTTCACCGGCATACACTCCCTTCAAATTCGTACACAAATCAATAGCCTTTGTGCTGCAGCCTTCCCACATATATCTATTAAATTTGTTTTCCGCCCTTTCAACGTATCTCTTCTTTCTTCCTCTTTAAGGACAAAATTCCCAAAACCTCTGAGATCTGTTGTAGTCTATTTCTTCAAGTGTCGAAGCTGCAACGCCTCGTATGTGGGTCAATCCACACGTCATCTACACACCAGATTTTCGGAGCACTTGGGAATATCCCCCCTTACAGGCAACCAAGTTTCTCACCCTGCGTTATCAAGCGTTCTTGCTCACATTAACGCAACTAAACACACCCCCAACTTAGACGACTTTAAAATAATCTCCTCTTCTTACGATTCTTATGAACTCTCCATTCATGAAAGCCTTCTAATCAATAAATACAATCCTTCACTTAACGTGCAAGGAAACTCCATTCCACTTAAACTCTTTTAATTTCTCTTTATTTTACTTCCTAACTTCCTTATCATATAATCCATTTGACACCGCCTCCTTTAGTAGTAATTTAACACCCTTTTGTAAATATAGTATCTTGTCTTAACATCCTATTTATTATTTGTCTGAAAATGTCTTGCGTAAAGACGAAACGTTACAATAAATTCAATTTTACAATTTTTTGGTCTATTTCTATGGCTCTAATCAAAACTTTATGTTACATTAATTCTTCTTACACGATTTCGTAAAAGCACTATTGCTAATGGCATTTAATATTACAAGAATTCGACTTCGGCTCGGCAAGTCTCTCGCTACTATTTTACGAAATGTTGCCCTACTTTTACGGTGTATAACCATTTTCCCTCACTATGTCCCTATTTGTTGGGGGTGGAACAAGTTCAAACGTATCATTGTCAATTAACGCTTTCATTTCATCATTCATGGCTTTTTGCCATTTTACTTTTTCATTGGAGCTTATTGCTTGGGAATATGTCGTTAGGATGTTGGATACTCTATAGCAATAATCTATGGTATATGAGACAGTATCCTCCCCTGAAACTTCTTCTGTCGCATACTCGTCAAGATATTTAGGCTTACTTCTTATCCTAATGGAGTATCTTGATTCTCTAGATGTCTCTGGAGCACTAATGTCTTCGTTAGTTGTTTTGGGGTTTCTTTCTTGCAATTATGCTATCTGAGGTGCAAGTTCTTCATCATCTAGTTCTGGCAGTTCCCTTCTACCCTCCCTGAAGAGCTTAACGCATCTTACACGCTCTACCTTGTTAATGTCAGGGTAGTATAGTAGATATGCTGGACTATTTTTATCATACCCTACGAAAATACCTTCTTTACTTCTAGGGTCTAACTTTTTGCAATTTTGTGAATAACCATAACAAACACAACCAAAAACGTGCATTTTGCTCAAGTCTGGTTTTGAGACTGTAAACGCTTCGAACGGAGTTTTGTTCAACCTCCAATTAAAACAACGACTCCTAATGTAAGCAGATGCCATGACGGCATATGTCCACATGGATTTTGGTAGTTCCGCTTCTAGCAATAGACCTCTAGCCATGTTAAATAAAGTTAACCACGATCTCTCAACTGTGCCGTTCTGAGGTGGCAAATATGGTGCACTAGTTTCATGCCTAATTTTGTTTTCTCTAAGAACTGATTTGAATTTCTCGCTTGTAAATTCAGTGCCGTTATCACTTCTTATGCGCTTCACATTTCCGTAAGGTGCAACATTTGCTAAAAACTGTTTTAATGCTTGTGGTGTATCGCTTTTATGCTTTAGAAAACAAACCATATTCAATCCTGAATAATCATCCACAAACGACAATGCATATCTAAACACTTCTCTTCCTTTCCTTTATCTGCAAGATCCGTGTAAATAAACTCAAGAGGACCTCTCGCCTTTTTATCTTCCAGCTTACTTTTCGTCTGACACATTTTACCTTGAGTACAAACCTCACAATCAACATCTCTCAAGTCTGTGATTTTCATCTCCTTAACCACCTTCTCTAGTTTCCTAACATCCTTGTAGTTGCAGTGACCTAGAACCTTGTACCACTCGTAAAGAGAACATGCATTTTTATTCGAAGATGATATGCTATTTATATAGTAAAGTTTGCCTTTTTGTCTTATTCCAAACGTTTTGCCATCAGGGCACTGTACATGCTTATCGTGTTTATGACTAAGAAGTCAGTGTATTCAAGTAGACTGCCTGCACAAACTTGGTGTGTCATTTAGACAAATTGTTAAACATCTTCCTAAGTGATAGTATGACTCAGTACCTCCATTTTCATTCCAACATGCAATGGCGTCGCTAAAGGGAGGCCTTGGAAGGGGCCAGTTGCCCCTCTAAAAACTGGCTGTGGCTCCCAAGTATCCCTTATTTGAAGTTCAGATAAGAGTCTTTATATGCACCATTCGAAATTAGAAAGAAGCACATGGCATTAATATAGCTCTTAAGAAAATCGCACAACTTTACTGTAAAGGGAAGCATTTTATTAGCTGTGCAGACTAATTTGCGCTGCATTTACCCTTTCCGGGTTGTTAGCCCAGCGGTAAAGACTTTAATTTCTTAAAAATGAAAAAAAAACAACAATAATTCTAGAAGTCTCTAGTGGGCAAGGAAGAACAAGTAATATTGTGATGCATGTCATGAACAACATTACACCATCTCATAGAATTAGTATGACATCGTGGACAAGTATACTCGTGGACTCAAACTTGTAGACACAAAAATACAAATACAGCAATGACTACTAAGAGTAAGGCTCATGAAAATACTGAAATTCTGGAAGTATTATAATATAAAAGCATTTCATTAATCAATAATCAATCTACGGAACGTTATAACACGAAGAATGTACAAATCCGCCAAGGTTAAACTAGGAAGTTAAAAAATTGAAGCTATTCATAATGTGATAAATATTTCAAAAATTTCCCAGTGCAGAAGCAATTTTTAGGGCCATTTCGCTAGTGGTACAAATTTTGTGACCCCCCCCCCCACTCGCGAAATACTGGCGACGCCACTACCAAAATGTAGCCAAATGCCTAAATGCAGGAAAACTAAAATGTCCAACTGCGTTGTTTTTAGCTGCCATCCTCGATATTCATTTACACGTACAAATAAAACTGTAACATTACGTAGCTATGTTTGATCTTCAACAATTTTAGTTGTCTATAAACTCTACTTAAAGAAACAATTTATGTTGATATTAATAATTTTATGTCCTTTAGATGCAGTCAAGAGAAGAAATTAATTACTTCTACCTGCATAAAATACTTACAGATGTTAAAAGAAACTTGTTGATTTTTTATCCAAGAATGGAACACTCATTACAAAAATCTCTCGGAGAATGGGAAAATACAAACGTTAGTGGTCAGAAGTTGTTCAATATTGAAATATCAAAAAAAATTTTGTGATAAACAAATTTGTCAAAATTTAAAGATGGTGACACCAGTAAGTG